TGGTTTTTCCTACAAACCTGTCGGATAGCAGGTTTAGGATTGTTAAGGGTCGATTATCCAGTCACGGCTGACCTACACCCATCAAACATTCCCACTGGCTACAGGACCAGTACCGGGTCACCTACTCATCTGATCACGACTGTTTTAACCGTCTTAAGTCCAGTTCTACACAGTTTTGGTTCTTGTGACACTACGGGCTCGTTTTTAACTACAATATAAAAGCTGCCCCTCAAGGAGAGAAACATCAGGTGTGCAGGACAAATAATAATAATAATAATAATAATGATAATAATAATGATAATAATAATAATAATAATGATAATAATAATGATAATAATAATAATAATAATATCCTAACACGTGACTGAACGTGTGAACACGCTACATACATGTTTAAACACCAAAACAAGCAGCTCAGCGTGATGTAGGGATTCTAACCAGCGCGTGGGGAGTCTGAAGTCAGCCTCGAGCACCTGATAGCACGGAGGTGGATAACACAACTAATTACGTACAAAGTTGTCAGAAAACTTTTGTAGTGATTGTAGATATATAAATATATATTTTCAGCCTGAGAGAAAAGTGCAAAAGCGTTTATTGCTGACAGAGAACATGACTCATTGCGACTCGCTGTGCCTCCAAAAGTCCTGGATCTTTGTTTGATCCGTTTATTTCTGCTACAATCTGCACTAAATCCACTTCCAGATAGCTCACCCCTTCATTTCCTACATTTCGTGGCGCTCTCGTTGTTGTGTAACGCTGCGAATGTTCTCCATCTGGTGCCCAGACTGGTGAGCAGGGATATTTGCAAATACTATAAAAAGATCTCAGGCGTAAAGCAGATCACAGGTGACACCAGCAACTAACGGAAACCTTCATGGAGCAGACACACGCTGCAACGGTTCTGTTCCAGGCGTATACTTTGTGGAAGTGTTGGGTCTCGTGGGTTTTCTCAGAATACATCATTGTCACATTAGCGCTGATAATGACCATCAGTGTGACTCTGAAGCTTCTATCAGCGCTTCCCTCTCGGCGGGCGTCATTTTTTCCTCTCTGCTGCTTTGAAGGGACACTAGAAATCTACCGTGAGGCTTGTCTTTGATTTTTCATGCAATTAAGTGAGAAAGAAGATCAAGTGTGTTGCTGTAGGGAAGCGCTGGAAGACGTCAGCCTGACGGGCAGCAGCAGGACCTGCCCACACTGCAGCAGCAGCAGCGTGACGGGAAGCTTCATCCAATGTTCAGAATGCATTTAATGCAGTTAAAGCAGTCAAAGCAGGGGCTGAAAATGCATGATCTGATTCTAATTGTGTGCCATTAGCAGCTTGACATCTCATTTCTGCTCCAGTCAAACCTGAACACACACGAGATGCAGATTTTAAACTGATTTCCTCTGATCTGAGTGAAAAACATCCATAAAGCTGCTTCATAGGAAAAGTATTCGTTATACCTCCAGAAGAAAGAAGCTGCTGATGGCTGATTGGACGGTTTATGTCAAACAAATATGTCCTAAAGAATCCAGTTGTTGTTCCTGAATCATCTGCAGTATCAGACAACACCTCCCAAAGCATCATGGGAACCATCAGGGTTGTTTTAGAGTTTAAACGCACGGCGGCTGAAATCTGGTTTTCCTTCTTCTTCTCACAGATAAAACACCTTTTACACCTGTTCACCTGG